GGGGGGGGGGGCAGGAAGTGATTAACCAAAAAACATATATGCAAGGCCCATGAACACAGACAATAGTGAGGTGAAGGCCTAGGGAGGGGGTGGGAGCGGGTGGAGAGGGTCAGTGGGGGGAAAAATGGGAAACATCTGTAATACTTTCAACAATAAAGATAAATTTAAAAATAAAAACACAAACAAGAGGTCCATTGTGGCCTTGGTCAGCAGATTGCCTCTGGGCACATTCCCACATGCCCGTAATGGGTGAGCCAAGCCTGTCGTGCTTTGACATTCGGGTCCTGTTGGGGGTGGGGGCAGAAGTGGTAGATCATGGGACCTATCTGGGTGCCCCCCATTTGAAATAACCTGTGGTACTTCCTACAGGGGGCAGGGTACTTGTTTTGTTTTATAAAGGATTAAAAAATTCATTGGATATTAAAATTAGAGTGAGAAGCCTGGCCGGGCGTGGCTCAGCGGTTGAACGTTGACCTGGGATCCAGGGGATCGGGGTTTGATTCCCGGTCAGGGCACATGCCCAGGTTGCAGGCTTGATCAATGACTCTCTCATCATTGATGTTTCTATCTCTCTCTCTCCCTCTCCTTTCCTCTCTCTGAAATCAATAAAGATATATTTTGCCGGGCCAGGCGTGGCTCAGCGGTTTAGCATCGACCTAGGATCCAGGTGATCAGGGTTCGATTCCCGGTCAGAGCACATGCCTGAGTTGTGGGCTCGATCAATGACTCTCTCATCATTGATGTTTCTCTCTCTCTCTCTCCCCCTCCTTTCCTCTCTGTGAAATCAATAAAAATATATTAAAAAAATAAAAATTAGAGTGAGAATAAAAATGTTATTTTTACTATCTCTTAGGCCTATGGAGGGATCTTTCAAAAGGGAGGTTTATTTCATTGATTCTAAAACACACCATTTCTCACACTGAGAGCCAATGCCCAGTGGAAGAGGGTGGTGGTGCTGGGGAGGCCAGAGGCTCCAGCAGCAAACACTCTGCTTCCCTGGCTGTCAATGGATAGTCCTCTTCCAGGATGGAGCAGATAGGACAGGTTTCTGGTGCCTGAAGCCCCTGAGTGTGATAGGGACTCATGATACTTAGCAAAGAAGTTTCCCTTGTTTTGTGGAGTGAGAATTGTACAGACTTTGTAAGCTGTATCTTTGCTGTTAAGGGAACACAAACTCACTTTTTTTCCTTTTTTAAAAAAACACAAACTATATCTTTATTGATTTCAGAGAGAGGAAGGGAGAGGGAGGGAGAGAGAAACATCGGTGATAAGAGAGAGTCATTGATTGGCTGCCTCCTGTATGCCCCCTACTGGGGATGGAGCCCGCAACCCAGGCATGTGCTCTGACCAGGAATCGAACCGTGATCTCCTGGATCATAGGTCGATGCTCAACTTCTGAGCTACTCCAGCCAGGCTCATGTTTTCTTCTTGACAGGAGTTTCCTTATATGGTACCCCACTGGCTGCCCATGCCCAGGTGCTTAGCCTCTCTGATCTTGTCTCAGAGCACAGTTCACAGGGAACCGCAGGGCCATGGTCTGTGGGGATTTTCTTCTGCATTGGCCTTTGGTGTGTGTTCAGTGGTGCAGGAAACAGCAGTGTTTGGCTGTGACTTCTGCCTGATGTGGTGGCTATTAGAGGGTCTTGGCTTTGCCAGAGGTTCCTGTGAGGGCTCTCTGTGGGGAAGGCAGACCTTTTGACCCAGAGGTAGCCCAGATCTGCCCCAGCAGAGTTCGGCCTTGCCCGAGTGCCTTCAGACATGGAAGAGACTGAAAGTGCCAGAACCTGCTGGACAGATGTCTCTAATGCCACTTCTGTTCATTCATTCTTCTGCAGGAAAGAGCTTGGCATCCACCTCTGTGCCACGGAGGCCAAGCTTTGAAGGAGTAGGAGATCCCTTCCCTCCCTACCATCGGATGAGCGGGGTCTACGATGAGGAGGTGCCCCGGCAGTACATGGACTTTCTCTTTGCCAGCGTCAGTCCCCACAGTGCGCCTGGTGGCCCCCAGCACCAGCCCAAGGGCTACTCTGCAAGTATGGAGGCTGCCGGGATGAACTTCCCCATGGCAGGGCCTGGGGGCCAAGGCCTCCCGCTGCAGGGCCCACACTACAGGCCGCACCTGCTGGTGCCCGGGGAGACCCTGGGCTACGGCGTGCAGCGCAGCCCTTCCTTCCAGAACAAGGTGTCGCCGGACACTGCGGGGTATGCCAGTCTGGCTGCCAAGGGCCCAGGTGGGCAGCCAGGGGCCAACCACACCTTCCAGGCAGTGGGGGCCACAGCAGGTTTGTACATGCCGCATCCACACCACAAACAGGCCCCTCAGGTGCATGTGATGGTACCCCCACAGAGCCTGCTGGCCCCCTCCAGGAGCAGCCTCAATGTGGACGTGTACGAGGCCGGCAGCACCCCCATCCAGCCGTGGTCGGTGCCCACTCTGGCCCGGCGGGACTCTCTGCAAAAGCAGGTGGTATTCCGGCCTGAGGGCCCTGTCCCCAGCAGAAGCAGCTCCTTCAACAACCACCAGCAGCCCGTGGCCGTAGCTTCCCCCAACACTATCACGGCGGTTACGGCGGCACACATTCTGCACCCAGTGAAGAGTGTGCGTGTGCTTCGGCCGGAGCCACAGACAGCCGTGGGGCCCTCCCATCCAGCCTGGGTGCCCACAGCCGCTCCGGGGCCCGAGGGGCACGACTCCACTGATGAGCAGCCCCCGCCCTTGGTGGGCGCGGGCCCCTACCCGCGGGACGTGGACGTGAGGTGCCCACCCCCACCCTACCCCAAGCACCTGCTGCTGCGGAGTGCAGCGGAGCAGGTGGACGTGGACTGCTTGTGTGCAGGGGTGGAGCAGCGGCTGCGGGGCGCTCCCTCTGAGCCCCCGGACAGGGGCCACAAAGGCACCAAGGCAGACCGAGCTGGGAAGGATAAGAAGATGATCCAGACATCTCCCGTTCCAGTTCGAAAAAACAGCCGCGATGAGGAGAAGAGAGAGTCTCGAATCAAGAGCTACTCACCCTATGCGTTCAAGTTCTTCATGGAACAGCACGTGGAAAATGTCATCAAGACCTACCAGCAGAAGGTCAACCGCAGGCTGCAGCTGGAGCAGGAGATGGCCAGAGTAATCTCTCCTTTCAGTCTTCTTAAGCTCTAACAGGAATCGCTGTAGGATCCCTTTTCTTTCTGTTTTATGCATTTTGGTACCAACCAGTCATCTCATGGCCCTTGTCTGGTTCTGAGGGGAGGACCTGGAGAAATTACAGGTGTTCCAGCGTCCCTTTGCTGGACTGCAGGGATCAGCTATGGCTGTACACCATGTGCCAATGGGAAAATTACTGAATGAGTTTTTTTGTATTTTTATTCATTAGCAAAGTTCATTAAGTTTTACTAACTAGTAACAAAACACTTTGGGAAGAGTAGAAACAAAGTTTGAGGTTTTATGAATTGAAATAGTGGGCTTTGTAAAGAAAAATATATCTAGTAGGGATTCATTTATCCTTTCTTTAAGCCTATAATTTAAAGAGACCTTTCTTGACACTAAACTGCTAGAGAAGGTAATTAATGAAATTATTTAAATTAAATGTTACAGTAAATTTAAATCACACAAACCAATAATTTCAAATTCTAAAAATAAAATTTGTGCTTAATTTCTTTGTGCTCCCATTTTCATTGATTGTTTCGTTTTGTTTCTGTTTTCTCATTTTCCCTGAGCTTTTATTAAAATACTAGGTTGCTCTTAGAGTTCCAGGAATTCTGTAGTCCCCTTTCCACAGACTTTTGTTCATAGAGGTTTCCTTTAGTTTTTAAGGGCATAAAGGCACCCAGAGAGAGAACTATTTTGTCTTCCCTTTGAATTCTGGATTTGTGTCTGTATATGGATATAAAGAACAAAATGGATTGTTCTCTTGCTTGGAGTATATTGTACGCATTCTCCTATCTTCTCATTCCTGTAGATCAAGTCAGGGTCCTCTCAGTTCTAGGGCATCTCCCGCCAGTCATTTCCTGTTTGGGTTCCTCTGATGTGACCCTTATTTTCCTTCTGCGCAGGCCGGACTCTGTGAGGCTGAGCAGGAGCAGATGAGGAAGATCCTCTACCAGAAGGAGTCTAATTACAACAGGCTAAAGAGGGCCAAGATGGACAAGTCCATGTTTGTGAAAATCAAAACCCTGGGGATCGGTGCCTTTGGGGAAGTGTGCCTGGCGTGTAAAGTGGACACTCACGCCCTATATGCCATGAAGACCCTGAGGAAGAAGGACGTCTTGAACCGGAATCAGGTGGCCCATGTCAAGGCTGAGAGGGACATCCTGGCTGAGGCGGACAATGAGTGGGTGGTCAAACTCTACTATTCCTTCCAAGACAAGGACAGCCTGTACTTTGTGATGGACTACATCCCTGGGGGCGATATGATGAGCCTGCTCATCCGGATGGAGGTCTTCCCCGAGCACCTGGCCCGCTTCTACATCGCAGAGTTGACTCTGGCCATTGAGAGTGTCCACAAGATGGGCTTTATCCACCGAGACATCAAGCCAGACAACATTTTGATAGATGTTGATGGTCACATCAAACTGACAGATTTTGGTCTCTGCACTGGATTCAGGTGGACTCACAACTCCAAGTACTACCAGAAAGGTACTGTCTTAGGCATACCACACCCACTTTACACATCTGGACACAACTGAGCCATTTAAGGGAACCGTTTCCCACCCTGGTGGCTCCTAATCATTGTGAAATTATCTGTCAATTCATTAGTTTATAATTTGGTGATATCCTTTTCTCCCTAAAGAAGTAGTATGATATTTGTGAGTGGATTTAAGTTTTACTATGATATTTTTAGAACAATAGGTTCTGAGGTGTCATGGGGCCACCACTCTGCTCTATTAACATAAGCCTTAAAAAGTAAGCTTTACAGCTCCCCCAGGAGTCCTTGTACAGCCGACCTGAATCTCTCTGCAGTATCTGCAGTATCTGTAGTGTCTGTAGGTGTAGGTATGGATATAGGTATGATCATAGTTTATCTCCAGCTCCTATAGTTCTGCTGTTTGGAAAAATCAAAAACAGCTGGCCAATATTTATGGCTCAGATTCTTGAAGTAGTTATTTTAATACCATAGCTCAGGCTTCTATTTTTTAACTTAAAACTAATCCTAAGTCATTTAATTTATTCCCACTTTCTGGCATTTTAGTCATTTTTTAATCACATTTTTTAAATCCTCTTATGCTTTTGTGTGCTAATCTTTTTTTTTTTTTTCTCCCAATCTTTTTTGATTTCAGAGAGAGGAAGGAAGAGGGAGAGAGAGAGAAACATCAATGATGAGAGAGTCATTGATTGGCTGCCTCCTGCACGAGCCCGTAATCCACCATGTGCCCTGACCAGAAATCGAACCGTGATCTCCTAGATCCTAAGCCGACGCTCAATCGCTGAGCCACGCGGTGCTGGACTTTTCTGCTAATCTTAAAGCACATCTTGTCGCTATTGGCGTGAGAAGGGTGCAGAGTGATGGTTCCCTCAATTATCTAAGCCTCAGCACAGCCTGCAGCTGCTTTCACCATACTACAGTTGTTTCTGCTGTGGTGCCATGTTCACCTCACACAAGGTCTCAGATCCAGGACCGCAGGCTGCGCTGCTGAGCAGCTGGGCAGGGTTCTTTCTCTCAGTGTGTCAGGAGCTGAATTTAATTAACCCTTTGGTTTGAAGCTACTGCTTTGTTGAATAGTGAAAACTTACTTTGTTTTGTATCCCCTTCTTTCCCTTCCCTGATTTCTGGTGAAAAAGGGAGCCACATCAGACAGGACAGCATGGAGCCCGGTGACCTCTGGGATGATGTATCTAATTGTCGTTGTGGAGACAGGCTGAAGACCCTGGAGCAGAGAGCCAGGAAACAGCATCAGAGGTGTCTGGCTCACTCCCTGGTTGGGACCCCAAATTACATTGCCCCGGAAGTGCTCCTCCGAAAAGGTGGGTGCCTTGGGCACTCTTCTCTGGTGTTCCACGCTCCTGCCCAGCTAGAGGCCATCTTGACTCCAGAACTGTGGAGCCAGAGGACCTCTGAGAGTCTCCAGCCCCAGCTTTCTAAGACCCTGAATATTCCCACCATAACTGTGTACCCATAGAAGCGTGTGTCACTTCCATTTGCTCCCAGGGTGATGGAAGACATGCATCTTTAGGCCTGTCTTTGCTCACTCATTCTTTGGGAAGTGAGAGATTGGATGGGGGTGTGGGGTCTCTACCTGGAACCTAAGAGAATCATTCCAGAACTGGTTTGACAGTCATATGATGGAAACAACTCTCAGGGTCACAGGGACACTATTCAGTCTGCCTAAGCCAGACATTTCCAGGCTCTAGCTGTAACATTCATTTTTTAAAATTTTAAAATTTTATTTTTATCAATTACAGTTCATGTTCAATATTATTTTGTATTAGTTTTAGGTGTATAGCATAGTGGTTAGACAATCATACTTTACAGAGTGGTCCCCCTGATATTTCAAGTACCCATCTGGCACTGTACATAGTTATTACAATATTATTGACTATATTCCCTATGCTGTACTTTATATCCCTGTGACTATTTTGTAACTGCCAATTTGTAGTTCTTAATCCCTTCATCTTTTTGACCCAGTCCCCCAACCTGCCTCCCTTCTGGCAACCCTAAGTCTGTTCTCTGTATCTGTGAGTCTGTTTCTGTTTTGTTTGTTTATATTGTTTTTTAGATTCCACATATAAGTGAAACCATAAGTTATTTGTCTATGACTGACTTATTTCACTTAGCATAATACCCTCCAGGTTCACCCATGCTGTTGCAAATGGTAAGATTTCATTCATTTTTTTTTCAATCCTCACCTGAGAATATTTTTTCCATTGCTTTTCAGAGAGAGTGGAAGGTCAGAGAGAGAAATACTGATGTGAGAGAGACATATCGATTGGTTGCACTTAGTCAGAATCGAACCTGGGACCCTTCAGTCCACTAGCCGATGCTCTAGCTACTGCGCCAAACAGCTAGGGCAGATTTTGTTCTTTTTTGTGGCCATGTAATATTCCATTGTATATATGTGCCAAAGTTTCCTGCCTAAATTTTGAGCTGGGTTGTTCCCTCTCCAGCTGGTTATTGAGTATGACAGAAGACAACTGTTGTATTCCTCCAGTTCTCTCTTCTAGTCTAGAAGTCACATTTGGGGACAGTAGTATGCAGAAAACTATAGGTGCTAAATAAAATTGGTCCTGGATGATGCTCTGTTCCATCAAATATGACATCTAACTGAACACCAAAGGAATCTTCCAGTATTGACCTGAGTCTGTGCAATAAATCCAGGATTGGTGGCCTTTCTTTTCACATGTGTTGTTTCAAGTCTTTGCAGCCACCCAGACTCTGTTCAAGTCTGAGTTTTCTTTGTTAGCTGTGGTAATCCAAGGCAAATTAATTAACCACTCAGAGCCACATCTATAACAATAACCTTGCTGCCCAATCACGACCTCAGTGTTGGAGGAATGAGTGCCAGGCTGTGGGGAATGGCATTCTGTCTTTCCCCTGCAGCCCCTCTTCAGTATCCAGCATGTACACTGTCCAGAAACCAGGGGTGGGGTCACTCTGCAGCTCCAGTGCCAGATGGGCAGAAAGGAGTGGGATGGAGGGTACCAAGGAGTCTGAAGGAACTAAACTGGTAGTACTGCCAGCAGGTTTAGAGCCCAATTCACGCTTAGCAAGGATTAGGTGACATCAAGACTGGAGCATGGCTAAGACTGGGACATGAAGCTTTGGAAGAAAAGTGGGAGAGAATCAGAAAAAATGAACCTGCTGTTCAGCCTCCTTCAGCCTCCTTGGGGCTGGCTGTGACTGAGCTGCAGGATGTCCTGCCTCAGCTCTATCTTGGGAGCATTGTCAGGAAGAGCCTGGCTGGTTAGTGCCTTGTACAGAGATCGTGTCTTTAGTGACAGTTGTTCCCTTTGCCAGAGTGCTCCCTTTCCTTTTCCTCTTCTCCATATTCTTTGACTTTCTCTAAACCTCCCAGGAAAGCCCCACCAGGAAGCCCTCATGACTGGACTTGAGGGCTTACAGTGTTTACAGGTCTTAACACTTCCTGTTTTGTGGTTACTACTATTTTAATTTGTGTCTGTTTGTTCTTTAAGAACTTAAAATTCTGGTTAGTATCACTAGTAACAACAGTAATTTTTTTTTAATTTATTGACTTGAGAGAGAGGAAGGGAAAGAGAGAGAGAGAGAACCATCTATTTGTTGTTCCACTTATTTCTGCATTCATTGGTTGATTCCTGTATGTGCCCTGACTGGGGATCGAACCCGCAATCTTGGCGTATTAGGACAATGCTCTAACCAATGCAGCAACCCAGCCAGAACAACACTAATCTTTTAAAATTAAGGTCTTATTACAAAAGCAACCTGTGTTTACCGCACACCAGTGACTCAAAATAAGAAAAAGGGCAAGTGAGCATCCTCCTCCCCACATGAAGACTGCTACCACCCCAGCATGTGCCCTCTCCAGCCTTTATTCTGAGCCACACAAGCAAGAAGATGCATTTTGTGTAGGGTGGTTTTCTTTAATGTAACGTGCTGCTCAAACATGTTTCCCCACATGGCAGCAAAGTAAAACGAGGATTCGTACAGTTCTTCTCTGAGAAGAGAACGTGCCCATGCTGGAATTGAATGTGGCCTTGTCTTTCAGGGTACACTCAGCTCTGTGACTGGTGGAGTGTTGGAGTGATTCTCTTCGAGATGCTGGTGGGGCAGCCACCCTTTCTGGCCCCCACTCCCACGGAGACCCAACTGAAGGTAACAAAGGGGAAATATGCATCTGCTTGCTGCAAACACACATGGTTTTCTCACCTTTTATTCTGAGTGGTGTAGGAATCTCAGTTGTACATATGGGAGTTTTTAAAGTATTATTGTTATTACATATCTTGAAAATTTTTTTAATAAGTAAAGCCCCAGAGTTACACCTGAGTTTTTGTTTTTGTTTTTGTTTTTTTATCTTCTCCCGAGGATATGTTATTGATTTTAGAAAGAGAGGAAGGGGAGGAGAGAGAGAAACATTGATCAGTTGCCTCCAGTACTTGCCCTGACTGAGGACTGAACCCACAACGTTTTGGTGTACGGGATGACACTCCAACCAATTGAGCCACCAGCCAGGGCTAAACCTGAGTTTTGAAATACAGTATATGTGTGTCTGAAATTTTACTTGAACCATTGTTCACCTGCTATCTTGGTATTTCCAGGTGAGAATAAAGAGAAGCGGTAGGCTTGGTGAGATCTAGTCTTTACTGCCACTGCCCACTGTGCAATAACAGAAAACTTTATAAACTATCGCTAAAGAAGTCACTTTCTTTATTTGAATGTTATATCATTACTGTTTGCAAATTATCAGCTATGAGGTTAGGCTAGGTATGCATATTCCTAATATTCACTTGATATAACTAAATAATTAGTTTTAGAGTGATGGTCATTTATTCTCTGACATAAATCATTTGATTACTTAAGAAAGATTGAATTGAGAATCTGATGAAATCTTTGGGATTTCTCATACAGTGCACTTACCCACTGATACATGTTTACCAAAAATTCTAGAAAGAATTTATATGCCCTGGAGTTCATGGTAGACTCCTAAACTAATAGTCCCTTTGCCCTGGATGGTTTGGCTCGGTGGTTAGGCCTGCGGACTGAAGGGTCCCAGATTTGATTCTAGCCAAGGGCACATGTACGTGGGTTACGGGCTTGATCCCTGGCCCCAGTCGGGGTGTGTGCGGGAGGCAACCAATTGATGTGTCTCTCTCACATCGATGTTTCTCTCTCTCTCTCTCTCTCTCCTTTCCACTCTCTCTGAAAAGCAATGGAAAAAATATCCTCAAGTGTGGATAAAAAAAAATATAGTCCGTTAGTTGGAAGGACCCTAAATTAAGACTTGGTTTCACACCAGTAACAATGAAGTTAGAAGCTGGCATTATCTGTATCCTCACTGAATAGCTAAACCACTCACTAATTTGCCTGCATAAACATAACCCAGTTTCTATTGCAATAAAACTTACCAGTTTAACTATTTTTAAGTGTGCATGCAGTTCAGTGGCAATAAGTACATTCACAATGTTGTGCAACTGTCACCATTGTATTTCCAGACATTTTCATCACCCCAAATAGAAACTACCCGTTGAACAATAACTGCCCATTCCCCCTCCCCCAACCCCTGTAACCTCTCTTCTACTTTCTGTCTCTGTGACGTTGACTGCTCTGGGTGCCTCAGATATACGCTGTTTGCCCTTTTCTGAATGGTTTATTTTGCTGAGCATAATGTATTCAAAGGTCATCCATTTTGTCACATGTGGAAGAATTTCCTTCCTTTTTAAGGTGGAATAATATTCTGTTGTGCATGTAGACCACATTTTGTTTATCCATCATCCAGCAATGGAAACTTGGTGTGTTTCTACCTTATTTGGTTATTATGGATAATGATGCTGTGAACATGAGTGTGTATACAAGAATTTGTTTGAGTCCTGCTTTCAGTTCTTTTGACTGTATACCCAGAAGTAGAATTGCTGGGTCATGTGGTAGTTCTGTTTAACTCTTCATACTGTTTCCCACAGTGGCTGCACCATTTTACATTCCCACCAGCAGAGAATGAGGGTTCCATTTTCTCCACATCCTCACCAACACTT